TTCTTTTCTGTCATTCTCTTTTCTTCCTTGCTACTTCGAGTATAGCACTTCAGATTACAATAACCATATATGAAAAAGACTCCAATATAACTGATTGGTGTCCAATGTCCTGAAATATTATTTTGCCAGGATGTAATATAGTAGTCCTCAGTTGAGGCGTAAAATGATGCTGCATCTGGAAACCCCATGGGATGAAACTGCTCCATTTGAGATTAGCAATTGGGAGCACAAAATCAGTGTTTGAAGTAGATTCTTTCAGTTACATTAATAGAGAATGGAATGGTGACATAGTGTTATTTTTTGCTACCAGAAAGAAACTCATTTCTAAATTTGGTAAGCATTTATACAATCGTTTTAGATGATGATGTCAAAGGCATATGTCAAGGAAAGCTATTATTTCTTTCTCAGTGGCTTCATGTCCAATTGTAGAACAAATCATAAAGAAAAACTGATTCAAGCTGAAGATGATCATTTGTGTTGGTTTAAAGGTGAAACTTTCCATCTTCAACTTATAGGAGACAGTTTATGCCCATTTAGATATGGTATGAGTTCATTCAATAAAAAATAATAGACTTGCATATTCCTTCTCAACATGCAATTATGGAAGAATTATTTTGCTTGGTCCAGTGAAGCAGTTGAGATTTCCTTTGCAACTATGTTCTATCCTTATTTGAGTTACATTTTCTTATTGCTTCAACATATTTATGTTTTTTCTTTCTTTTTCTATCTTCAGCAAATAGACTGTTAAATTCTCAAAATGTTGCTGGTGCTTTACAAAAGTATAACCTTAAAAACACATCTGTTCAAAACGCATTGGATTCTCTATCTGATAGTGGTTGCATTTCATTCAAAGAATATAGTAAGCAGATGATATACCTTGCTCGGCAAGATCGATCAGTTTGATATTCCCAACAGTGAGGTGCTTGATTGAATGAAGAAAGAAAATGCCAAACTGCAACAAGCCAACAAGGTTTGGAGGATCAAAGGAGAGCAATCAGTGAGGTTGAGGCAGGTATTGTTTCATACCATCTGTGGTCATTAGAAAAGTTTGTATATCATTAATGGTCTTCTTAACTTTGTTATTTATTTAGAAACTTGTATGAACTTCAGCATGTGAAAGAAAATAGTATAGGACAATCTGCTACAGTCTGACTACCATATTCCTGCTGCATCTTGTTGCAGAAATCAAAGCTTTGCAGTGAAATTTACAACTGGAACAAATATATACCAAAGAGGCTAAACTAAGAGCTGAGATAAGTTATATTTGGTCCAGTGTCTTTAAATTGATACAGAGATGTCAGAGAAATATAAAGAGCATTAGGAACCTTCTTATCCTTTCTCAGGTTGAGGAAATGGAGAAAATAAATAAATTGCGAGGTGTCACTTTAGTAAGACCAGAAGAATGGAAGGTGGCTTAACAGATTTATTTGGAGAAAATAAGTCAGTGGAGAAAGTGTAAAAGGATGTTGAAAGACATATGGGATGTAATAACTGAGAACTCACCTAAGGATCTTAAAGAATTCAAGGTTGATTATATGACCTTTTTTATGCATCTATGCTGGTTTTCATGCTGATATTGTTTACAATGGGCACTAAATTGTTACAGGAGGAACTTGGAATTGAATATGATAACGATGTTGGAGTGTGTTTACAACCATTTTGTGATTTAGTGCAACATGGTAAGAAGCGCAGCAGAGGTCAATGATTTCCTTCTTGTATGCTATAGACTAAAACAAGAGTTTCAATATATAGGTTGCTTAGTGTATCCAAGTGCTAGTCTGCTTCAGTTCCTTGTATGTTCAAGTCTTTGGTAGATCTAGAATTGTCTGTCTTGAATATCTATCTTTTCTTAGTTCATAGTGCTGTATGAAACATCCAGGTCAAATGAGTGTCAAAGAGCCACTTTATCGGGCATAACCAAAGGCCCCATGTACATGCTTTTAGATTCAAAAGAGTAAATTTTCTAATCATTCTACCCATTCTCCACAATGTCCTTGCAAGCCTCAAAAACACAATGCATAGATGACTTGTGTTGGTGACCATGCAAACACATGACTATGGTTACTCCATTCCCAATAGAGCATGTGCTGTATCCTGCCAAGGTATCTTGTCTACATAGATTCATACACAGAGAAGATGTAGTCATTATTTATCAATCAGAACTTCCCAAATATTGGACTGACCTTGTATGCACCCCAGCATCCTGTTGATTCTTGACTATACAGTCAATGTAAGTTTACCTAGATGCCAAGATACCATCCAAATGAAAATATGTGATGAGATGATTATCACCCAATGAAGTCTAGGGCTGTGACCAACGACAGATGTGTCCTAGCCTTTTCATAATTCACATAAAGCTATTTGTGAAAGGCTCTTGATGGGGTCATCAACAGAGTGTGAATGTTGGGCTACCTTATCGGCTTTGTCTCTATATGTTAATCACAATGTAAAGAATATTTCGAACTCCAGCCCTATACAGACTAAAGTATGGAAGCCTATCAAATAGAAAACACCAAAAGGGGATTCTATCAAAATCAATTTTGATGCATCTAGAAATGATAAAGGCGGATGTATAGTCGGCTGCATTGCAAGAAATCAATGGGGGAATGTTCTAGAGACCAAAGCTTATTTTATTGAAGATTTCTCAATTAATGTAGTGGAGGCTTGGGCTGCATCCGAGGCCCATAGCATAGCCCTTAACTATAGGGGTCTCCCCATTTTTGTTGAGGGAGGCTCTCTTCTAGTGATATCGTGCTTAAAGAACAAAGTGGACTGCCCGTGGAGACTAAAGACCAGTGTTTGAAGCTGGCTGGAGATTTAGAATGTGGAGTCACTTACAACCATGTTTTCAAATAAGCCAATCAAGCTGCAAGACTAGATGGCGTACCAAGCTCTTTCATCCCCTCTTAACACTCAGTTTTTGCTTTTCCTTTATCCTTAGGGATTTAAGTTCTATTTTATTTTTTTTTTTGTAATGCTTGGGGCTGATCTACTCCCCCCTGCGTATTATGTAGCTCCTCCTGTTTCTACCAAAAAAAGGGTGACATCACTGAGTTTATCTATATTGGCTCTTGATCTCATTCCCAGGTTACTCGTGCTGAGGAGGAATGTTTTGTTGCTGAGCAGGGACAGGTACCGATGTTCTTGTCATTTTATTCATTAGAACGTATGCCATTAGAGACCTACTACTTTGGTTTAGGCTTGAGCATCAGCAAGATTCACGCATTTAGCTAGGTTGCTTTTAACATTAGAAAATAAAATCTTAGAGGATTAGTCAAGTAATTAGGAGTGTCAATGGACTGGTTTTGGGTTGGACTACATTCAAGCAAGATTGGATGGACCAATAAGATATATTTGAATTGATCCAGTCCAGACTTAATGGTCCAAACTCCATTAGTATTTATTGGATTGAATTGGACCTAAACCATCTGTAATGAATTTTTGGATTGGATCAGGTCGAACCAATATTAGTCCATTGATGGAAGATAAGAATACAGGTGTCGATGGACCAAGTTTGGGTTCGAACCATTCTAAATTAAAACTAATTTGAATAAATTGAATGGTCCAAACATTGAATTGGACCAGTCCAAAATGGTCCTAAGTATCCATCATTGAATTGGACTTGATTCATCTGTAATGGACGGACCGGATCAAATTGAACCAAATCTGGTCCTTGAGTATTGGCGTATTCAAACAGCAGGTTATTTGACTAATTGCAACAATTCTATGAACGTAGAGACTTTAGGGGCGGTTAACCAATATGCATGGTCCTGTTTTTCCGAAAAAAAAAACAACAAATCATGGTTTTGGCTTAAAAAAAAAAAAGCTGCTACATCAGAAAAAAACAAAACCAGAACAAGAAAAAAAAAAGATTATTTTTCCAGATGTGGCGGTTTTTTTCCCTTTAGAAAAACAAAATCAGGAACATTGGGAAATACTCGTTATACTCGAACTCATGAACAAATTTTGGGAAATACTCACTTATAAATGCCAAATCCTACCAAAAAAAACATCTGAATCGAACTTTACACCATCATAAACTACCAATAGAAATGAAAAAATTAAGAAATATAAAAAACAAAAAGAGCCTCTACAACAATTCTTCACCCTAAAATCATACGTTTCACTGCCGATGCACACGTCTGGTTCTCACAGAAACCGGCATCATTCCTACTTTTGGATCATTTGGACTTGTTCGTTCTTCAGAATCCAAGTGATGTGTGGTTCCTAAACGAGACCTTGCACCAGAATATGAAATGGAAGTCTCTTCATTTCTTGATCCCAACACATTGACCTGCCCATGCTTATGTTGATCAGCTGCTTGATATCTTAGCGTGTTCTGGGATGGATGATGAAGCTTAACATCATTACTGTCGTCTGGCATATATTCATCTTTTACCCCACCAAACCCTCTGAGTTTTGGGGCTTCATTTGAGGTCACGCTTGACTTTCCACTGAAACCTGAGTGGAGTTGCTTAGCCCGTGAAATTGTACCCTGCTCATTCCTTCCCTCATTATCACTCTCGTCAAAGAATATTTTCTCCGGCGGCTGGTTATGTGGTATCTCGGTCTCCTTCAAAGAGTCCCCAGCTGAATCCGAACTGGAATCCGACGGTGATCTCTCCAGTTCAGCTTTTTCCTTCCCATCTTTGAATTCTTCAAGATGAATTTTCTCAGAGTTATTTTCCAGTTCTTCACCTTCTGATTCAGAACCAGAGTTGTCAACAGAATGGATCTTCTCAAAGCTCGATCCTCCAATCAATTTCTCAACTTCAACCTCCCTCCCAGTAATATTCCCGGAGGGAACTCCAGAACTAGCTTTGAACGACGCGCCACCCCGAGTAGTGGAACCACTATTGTCGTCGGGATCTTTGTCACGAGATTCAGACCTAGAGAGCTCTACAGCGGCTCTGGCTGCTGCTGCTGCAAAAGCTGCTGATTCAAAAGCATCTTGTGCTGCAGTGGCAACATCTCTGTACTTCCTTGATTTCATTGATCTTGGAGTGAACTGCTCATCCCTTTCTTTCTCCTCTGCAAAACTATGTGTCTTCTCTCCAAGCCCAGCATCATCTAAGTTAACAGAAGGGCCCTGCTTGGGATGATTCTTCCTCTGATTCCTCTCCAATTTCTCCTGCTGGGAATATTAAAAAAAAACAGTTATACATGTGCCAAGATTAAACTGTATCTCTGGTTCTCTTAACACTTATTAACACAATAATCCACGCACCTTGGTAGCATCAGAAGAAACTTCCTCAAGATGCAGAGTGATCCCGCTGTCGGTAGCAATTTCTTTTAGCACCTTCATTCTGCTCTCCGTATTTGCCGATCGTGTGGACATCTTCTGTATCATCTACAAAAACCATGGACAGACGATTTTCATCAATATACAAGAGCTATGAAGTTGAAGATTTTTTGTAAGAAGACAGCAACCTTGAAATGAGCACCACCGCCCTACCTTGAGATTCACCTCGCAACTGTTGCGTAATTCAACAGCTCGTGCAGCAAATTCCTTCCCAAATCGTGAAGTGAAGACCGCACGTATCTCTTGGAGCTCTGGAAACTCGCCACATCTTGAAGCAGCAAAAATCAAGCTTGATATCGCCTCCTTCAACTCATCAGGACATTCTCTGCAGAGAGGTGAAACAAACATATGCATCAGGAAAACGAGAGCTCAAAAGTCAAAATTAATAACCAAACTGCTGTACTGCTTATCCAGCAAACAACGCAGACCATCTAATCAATACCAAATCTTAAACAATTGAAAGTGATGAGAAGAAAACTCACTTGTTGTTCTCAATGAGAACGACCCTTTCTATCATGAGATTGCAGTATCCCTCAATCATAATAAACACGTCCAGCATGTTCTGGTCCTTGATCACATGCTCAACCTGTTCAAAGGTGACATGAGAGATGAGACATCAAGCAGTGGCGTCATGGGCAATTGAAGAGGAGTTTGATGAGTTGAGAGAGAGCGAGAGAGAGTTATTTGGCAGGGAACTTACACGAAGGAGAGCACGTTCATGGTGTCCGAGGTTGAGAAGCTGAACGACATCGGAGCGGGCTTGAGAGCAGCGGACCTGACGCTGGTTCTTGAGGATGGCAAGGCGGGAGATGGCGAGGTTCACAAGGGCTTTGAATTTGTAAGTCTTGAAGGTTCTTCCGAGCAGAGCGTCCAGTCTTCTTCCCATCTTTTACTCTGAGGCTTGGCTTGTGATTGTGGATGAGTCTCAACTCTCAACTCTGAAACTCCTGAAGAACCCCCGAAGACGTTCGTCCCGGACGGAACCGACAAACAAATGAATTTCTGTTCGCTCTTTATGCGATGACTAGTTCTTGGTGGGAGGACTTGTTTCGATTGTTTTACGTGTTCGGATTTACTTGCCAATTAAGACTTCGTCGTTCCAATGGGAGGGACTACAGTCTACAGAGAATGCACGGACAGCACACGATTAGTCGTCAGAGTTGAGGTAGGTGTGTTCGTGTTTACACGGACGCGGCCAATGAATTAAGGGGGGTTGTATTAATTTATTTGGCGGGTTCTTGGTGGTTTCCTTGCCGAGAACCAGGTCAAGAATTTTGACCTTCCTACATGCATACATGAAATATCTACGATTAATTCTAGTCTAGATACCGTAGTATACTAGTCTGTACGTACACATGGAATGAAGTGGCATGGGCCATTTATGAAGGCCCACATCCACACATCCACAAAGTAGATCTCCAGGCAAAAGCCAAAAAAAGACACATTTATGAAGGCCCACATCCACCGATCGAGTGGCTAGGTGAGTGGGCTCGCGAGTTGATAGGTGATACTAAGAATTACAAAAGCAAGAACTCAGACGAGTTAACTTACCAAGTGAAAGTGTCCAACTTCTATTCTCTACTCGGGATACCTTTTAATGACCAACAACTCTACACTCAATTTATAGCTGCTGTTGTTGTTCGGTAGAAAAGGTTTTTTCATCTGGGTTATAATATTTGATTAGAACACGAATTGATCGAGCATCCACATCGGAATCATTCAAAGTTCAAACCTACTGTTTGTAACCGCCCCCCCACCCCCCAAAAATTAAACAAGCTTTATTTTGATCGTTTCTAGTACCCAACCTTCACTTTTATAGAGCGTAAGTTTCCAACATGTATATGCAGAAGAAAGTAATGTCTTGAATTGGTGGAAATGGTTTCATTTGAAGTCCAGATTTCTTCCTTTCATTGTTCTGGTAAACCACCCGAATGTATTTTCAATTGAAACGTGGCAACATGGAGGACGTTGGGTTAAGGAATCAGCCAATAAAATGTTTGGTTCTAGGGAGCAAATTTGGACCTTAGCTCAAATAAAGTTGTATTTCTTGAAATTGTTATTAGTAAAGCAAAGAGACATTGATTCTGCCTTTTCTATTTCTTAGACTAGGAAACAAATGATGGGGGCAATCCATTGACTTTGGGGCAAAAAGAAGGAAAAGAACATTTACTTTTATTTGCTTCCACAATTGAATTCCACCTTTTTACTATGCCCGTTGGAGCAAGAAAAATAAAACCCAGAAGGAATGGAGAAGACTAATAGCATTTGTTTAGACTTGGCTCTGGATTCTGGATGGCTTTCTGTCTGTCTCTAGAAGTGAGTTGGGGTTTCGCTTTCATGGAGGTTCACACTAGTCTATGTGGCACCAAATAGGACTAAGAACATAGAAGCAGCGGAGCAACAGAAGATGACAGCTAGGGTAGATAATGGTCCTCTTTGATGTTTGAACACATAGATAGAAGATGAGTCCATGGTGGCCCCGGTCCTAACCAGAAATTCCTTCATGCCAAAACTACCAGTCAAATCATGTTCATGTTAATCAAAATTTTCTCATGCCAAAGCAACATGGTGAGTTGCGACCCGTCGGGTACTGCAGAACTCATACCAAGGCAAAAGAGTTTACCATTTGGCATCAAGTATACCGACTGTCGGGCTTACAACTTGACCCATTACAGTCAGAGAATTGTACAGATGGTAACTTCTATCCTACCCCTTTGGGATGTGGGTATGAGTAGCGGGGTAGCATATGGTATTTTGTTAAACTCAAAACTTAAATAAATTTTATTGGAAGGATATTGATAGTTTATAGGTTTTTTTACATGTCTTAATTAAATAATTGAAAATTTTATTATTTTTTCTTATTATTTTATTTATTTATTGTTTATATATAACAAGAAATAATAGAAAATTAGATATGGGCTCTAAACCCAATTTGCCTTACCCTTTGAATGTGAAGAAGAAAGGATATGAGAGGGTTTTACATTTTCATGTGCTGGAAGAATTTGAATCCATCTCTAACCAAAGTTTGCTAGTTCACCTCTTAACTTCTTAACCCAACCCAATGGGTCGAGTTGGGATTCTCATTTCATTATGGACAGGTCAAGTTTGGATTGGAGTGCCTTTGGTTCAGGGTCGAGTTGAGCCAAATCCAACCTGTTGACGTCAATGGGCGAGTGGATGTGAAGGCAAATTAAAGTTGGTTTCTTATCGGTCTGGATCTCATATGCTTAAATGCCTTGTACAGTAACAAATGAAAATTAATCAAAATTCATGAGTGAATAGATGTGATCTCTTATTCACAAACTCTTCTTACATTCCTACCCACAAAACACTAGGCAGTGTATTGGAAGCCCATGAATGATAGGAGAGATACTTTTAATGCACCGCCTGTAGTGTCTCCTGTTGGTGGAAATGTGGGAAGAATTTGTAGGTTGGAGATTCAAGTTTAAAAAGAGTTGCTTTATTTTGAGGCATACTCACAATATAAGGGCATTTTTGTATCACAAAATCTTTTTTTAGGCTCTATTTGCAAGGAGTACAAATAGAGCGCAAAATTTTATATTTTATATTGTTTTGTATATATTTGTATTTATACTCTTTCCAAATTGAGTCCTAGGTGCAAAACATAAATTCATTCATTCATCTCAGATCCAAATACATCATTATCTACAATGAATATAAGAAAATCTGGGCACACCGACCATGTACAGGTTCTACAAAGAGAAGTTGCCATTTTAGCTAAACAGTGCACAACTTTATTAGTCGTACAATGGATTACACGAACGGAAGGTATCGAAATAAACTTCTGCAATCTGCAATAGCTGTACTAATGCGCCACGGTGGTTCCAAAGATTCCACCAACAGAAGTTGAACAATAGCTGTACAAATGCCGGCCATGGTGATCACGTATTATGAATCCAGCGCCAGAAACGTCGGGACCAATCACAAAACCTAAGTTAAAATTCCTAGCCCCTTCTTGATGTTTCTAACAAAAACTACAAGACCTTGGTTTGATACTTTGATCATTCTTGAGCCAGTCCAGAAACCTGGCCTGGCCCAGCCTGCAAATTTTTAGGATTGGGCCCAGGTTTCTGTGCTCAGGCCTGCATCAAGCAAAGAACGTTCTAGGCCAGGGTTGGGTCCAACACTTCAAGCCCGGCCCAGGCTTAGCCCACAACATAATAATATATGTATTTTGAAACATATATTAAATGCTTATTTTTATATAAAATATAAATGTTTCATATTTTGTTTTAACACATAAATAATTATTTATGAATGGACATGTGTCAATATTTAGTCAATTTTAGTATGAGACTTGTCCTCCTAAGCAAAGTCTTATATAGTTGCTTTCATCCCATTAAACTTGAGAAAATACTCATGGGTTGGTTGCACTAATGAAGGCCTTAACTTCATCTATAAAAAGGACAGGTAAACTAAGTCAAATCAGACTTAGCAATTAAATAAGTCTTATGCCTTATTTTTTTGTGCCATAGGCCTAAAGCTAGTCATGCCCAATATAATTTTAGCTAATTAGCTTGTGCAATATATTTTTTTGCATACATGTTATTAAATTTAAAATTTTAAATAATTAAATTTTTATTGTTCAATGACATGGCCCAAAGTCATAATTCATTAGGCCCAAAAGCCAAGCCTAGGCTCATGTAAGGTCAGGCCTAGACTTGCAATCTAGGTATGGGGTGCAGACCAAGTTGGGCCCCCCTTATTATTTGGTACTAAAATTAGCCTGGACCGTCCCAGTCTGACCTATGATCACCCCTATTAAAACCTTTTTTTATTTTTATCCTAATCCTTAAAGGCTTGGTTTGGAAAGAGTACAAATATAAATATGTAGAGTGCAAAACCTTGTATTTTGTATTATTTTGAATGTATTTGTGTTTGGAAGGAGTACAAATACAAAAGTGTACAGTACAATTACATTCAAAATAATATAAAATACAAGGTTTTGCACTCTATATATTTGTATTTGTACTCCTTCCAAATGGAGCTTAAGAAACTTTCTATCCAAAGGTGAATACAAATTAAGCTTTTCATGAGCTATTTGAGCTCGGTTTATGAAAAGCTCAATTTTAAATTGAGCTTCAAGCCAAGCTTGAGCCCAATATGTAGGCTCAATTAGCTCGAGACTAATGAAGCCCGACCTATGATCACCCTTACTAAGACTTCCTTTTAGATATTCCTAATCCTTTCTATCCAAGGGAGGATACAAGTCAAGCTTTTCATGAGCTATTCAAATTCAACTTGTTGAAACCTCGATTTAAACAAAGCTTTGAGTCAAGCTTGAGCCCAATATATAGGTTCAATTAGCTTGAGACTAATGAAGCTTGGCTTGTTAGGATTGTGATCCTAATTGAGTTTATATTATATATTTTTTACTTAAATATATAACAAATAATTTTTTGTATGTATAGTTTTTAATTTTTTATATGAATAACATGAATTTTTACATGTATACTTTTTTGTTTTTTATATGAAACTTGGCTCACCAGCTGAGCCGAACTCAAACATATGAGCTTTTGAGTCAAATCGAATTCAAGCTCATATCTAGCTTAAATTGAACTTGAACCCGATATTTTTCTGCTAAGCCCAACTCTAATAGGCATATATTTGGCTTGGCTTGGCTCAAATACGCCCCTACTTCTATCAAAGTATTTCACTATTAACCTTGATAGAATGGGAAATTATCAATAACGCCCTTAAAGGGTTTTGGATTTTTCTGATGCTAAAAAAGTTCCCTTAAAGACTGAAAGTATTTCGCTATTAACCTTGATAGAATGAGAAATTATCAGGCATGCCCTTAAAGGGTTTTGGATGTTTGAATGTGATGCTAAATATGTTTTTGACATGGTTAAGTTGATGGCTTTATCACATATCAAAATGACTCATATTGAAGGCAGACATCTTAATATACCAATCATAAAATTTGGGTCCAATTGGAGGTCAGCATGAAATCCGAAATTCGATGTTTACTTCTACAAAATTTCAGTCTATGGACAAAATTATTGAGCGGCACATGGTTAAAACGAGTTAATTTT